AACCCTAAACCCCCAGCCCAAGGGGCCTGAAGACTTCAGGGATGGAGGGGTTGGAGGCTTTGGGGCTTTGGGCCTCGGGGCGTCAGGATCAGGCCTGAGAAAGGGCTTGCGGCCGGGGCGCATCGAAAAGAAAGGGGAGATGGAGATCTCGATCAGCGCCTGAAAGTGCGGTTCAGGGTTTAGGTTTTAGGTTTTAGGGTTTAGGGTTTAGGTTTTAGGGTTTAGGGTTTAGGGTGGGGCTCAAGGTTTGGGACTGGAGCCGAAGACCCTAGGTGTGTAGATTGGCAGCCAGAAAGCAAGAAGATCGGACAATGCTGAAAGCACAAGAGGAAAGGATCAGAACTATGACGATAGCAATGCTCTTTCCCCCCTCCTAATCTGTCAGGTCGCTTTGCGCTCTTGCGATGGAAAAACACGTTTTTGACTGTGCGGATTCCGCTGCAAGGTGGGATCTGCGAGGGATGGGTTCGGAAGGTGTATGAAGCCATCGCACAAGCGGTGCCTCAAACTAGCTGGACCTGCTATTAAGCGAAGTTCCTACAAAGTCTAGCGTACGATCTATATCAAAACCCTACAAGTCAAGCAGGTTATGGTAGTGATTGAAACGGATTTTGGGTCCGTGGCAGGAGATACTAACAGCCCTAAACCCCAAACTCTGAATGCTTCGTCGCAAACCCTGACCACTGAACCTAAACCATAAACCCCGACCGCTCAACCTTAAGCGGGTTTAGGCTTCGGGCTGGAGGGCTCAAACCCAGGAAGCAGAAGCCCCAAACCTAGATGAATTATTAGTAATACTATTACTTGTAGTAGTATTGTTACCCTTATTGGTATTGTTACTATGATGTAGTAGTATTAAGGCTTCTCAAGGCTCAGAGTTGTTTAGGTTTTATGGTGGTTCAGAGTTTAGGGTTTCGGTTTCCCTGGGGATTCGGGCAGGATATTGCAAACATCTCGTGCCGTATTCAGAGAACGCACGCGGTTTCGGAAATAGATGTGAGTGTAGCAGAACCGTTGCGGAGGATGAGGATAGAATGTAGATGGGGATGCCAATGATGTTTAAAGATCCTGGCTGCAGACGATGAATGGTGCTATCAGCCACAAAACCTCAAGCCCCAGTTCTTATGGAGCGCTGGCAGCACGAACCTTTGAAGAAAATCTTGCAGAAACAATGCTTCTGGACAGAACGACATTAAGACATTAAGACTCTTCGGTCACAGAGCCCCGCGCCAAGTTAACGACCATGGAGATGACGATGCCCAGACCACCCCCTCCCGAGAGTTTAGCATTTGGGTGTGAACGGCTGTGGGGCTTTAGGAGGGGTTTGGGTTTGCAGATGAGGGTTTGGGAATCTCCGGGGTCTGCAATCTGGGAAGCTTTGCATTCGAGGCCATGGGGCGTTTCGGGGCTTCGATTTAGCTTGAAGGCTGCATGTTCGGAATCAGGGCTGACAGCGCAGGATTAGGGTTTTGGACGTCGTCAGAGTGTAGTTGTTGCGGATCCTTAGTTGGCGAAGTGGTTCCGGGGCCCCGGATTTCAGGACCCGGCAACAGAAGTACAAAAACCAACCAACAACCCTGAACCCCAAACCCTAACACCTGAACCCCAAGCCCTGAGCTTCCAACTCAAAAGCGCGAAAACCCTAAACACCCTAAAGCTTAGACCCTAAAGCCCTACTGCAACACCTAACCCCAAAGCACCGAAGCCCTGAACGTCTGGGCGCTCCGAATCTGAGGGCCCCCTAGCCCTGAAGCCTTGAAGCCCTGAAGTCCCTACCCCGAACCCCCGGCAGCCTTCAACACTCGACCCGAAACAAACACCTCGTCTTCTGCATCATCGACCCCTGAAAACCTAAACACCAAAACCGGATGAGCGACAGCCCTGTCCTCAAGCTGGATAAGTTGGATAAGGTTTGGGGTTGGCCCTCAGCTCTTAAAACCTTCGTCATACTCAGACGCTCAAGGCCTTAATGAATGGTCCAAGTCCAACGTGCATTCCTTGCCAGTCTCGACCTCCAGCCCTGTGCTGAAATGCTACCAATCCCCCGCGCCCATATACCCAAATCCTACGCCCCTAACCAAAGACTGCAACCGGTCTGGAACCTGGGAAAAAAGACTAATACCAATTCTGCCAACCTTGATGAACCCAGAATCCCCAAACTCCAAATCCGACCCTAAACACCAAAACCCGAAACCTAAACGCGTGAACCCCTTGCAAAAAGCTTTGCAGGAGGAGCCCTTATGGAACACTAATAGGTTTGTCAATCCGAGAACCCCCCAGCCGAAACCCTGTCGCCTACCGCCGTGCTGCACGCAAACAAGGCTGCTTGACGAGCCTGAAGCCGAGCTTCTGCTTGTTGCTACAACGGCTTAGCGTTTAGGATTGAGGGTTTAAGGGTTTGAGAAAGGCTTTGAAAGGTGTGGCGAGGGTTTCTGTTATAAGGGTTTCATGCAGAGAACTTGCAACGGGTTTTTGCACGGTTCTTGAAGAGCTTTCTACAGGATAACGCTGCGGAGCAGCGTTGCAGGCTTTCACAGGATTGTTGCAAGGGTTTCATACGGGGTTTCAAAGAACGGCAAACGAGGTTACTCACGAACGAAGACAGAGGGTTTGGGACCTTCTGGGTGTACTTAAGGTTCAAATACTGGGCTTTCTCTGCAGCTTTCTACACCTTAAACCCCCAAACCCTGAACCCTTGTGCCATGTATATAGAACCTGTTCTGGAAACCTGTACTTTACAACCCGATCATTCTGTCACTCTTGCTAAACCCAAAACTTTGAGTTTTAGGCAGGGTTCAAGTCAACAGCTGAAGGCGGGGCTTCGGAGTTGAAAGTCTTCACTGGACTTCTGACTAGAGAACTTGATTGTTGAAGTACCACAACCCGCAAAAGCATCTTCTTTGCTATATACAGATATACAAATAAAGAAATAAATAAATATATATATATATATATGTATACATGCGGCAACTGAAAGATTAAAGTCCTTAACAAAACCCAGCTAGGCAGTTAGGTTCATGGTCGGGCATCGGGTCAGTACAACCGCGCACGCCTCCACCCTACATGCCGAAACCTTGAAGCTATCGACCTGAAATCCACGACTTTGGAACCCTGAAGCCCTAAACGGAGAAGAGGCTTCGAGCCCTCAGACCCTTTAGCAAACACTGATCGCATCGCAACCACCTTGAAACATTGAGCCTGGAATTCCGGAACCAGGGTCTAGCGATCACTCTTCCATGGTAACTGCTCCTGCTGAAGCTACACCGTACCTTCATCATGATTGTGGGCAAAGACGCTTCTTCCTACCGCGAGGCCACTTTGGCGTGACGGATGCCTGGCTCCAGTCTGAGACCTGGCCCTCCAGGTCTTGGGTTGGTTTAGGCCGCTTAGACCCGAAACTCTCAAGCCTAATATGTGTATATATATATATGTAGCAAAAGCTTCCATTCAATATGTAGCTAGGACGCCCGACATCAAAAACACACTCACCTCAACCATCTGCAAAGCACCACAAGGCCATGAATCCTAGGAGTTTCGGGTTTAGGGAATGGACGACTGGCAAGACTCTCAGTCCACGGCATTGTAATCCATGTTCGCAAGACCTCGGCTCTCAGCTAAGTTTCCCCGGCATAGCGCTTCATGCTTGAATGCATTGGTACTCTGCCGCATCGCCGCTTTCGTAAATCCGAATGGTGGAAGTGAGTTGCTGCAGGGGTGGTTCCAGATAAAAAATTTGGTGGAAACCACACAGAGAAAAATGAGGCACCGGCCAAAAAGACTCCGAACTGAGAAGAAAGCCGTTCACCCTGATGCCCTAAATTCCTGACACCTAAACCCTAAAACACTAAACCATCCTAAACCCTGTGCTGGGCCTGGATTCCGGCAAACCTCTCAGAACTTGCTCGGCGAGGTCTGGAGCCTAAACTAACACGGTTTGGGCTCAGGGTTCTTTGTGGTGTTGGTCTCAGGCTGAAGGTTCTTATACTTTGGACCCTCCTGCCCGCAGCCGAGGTCAAAACAATTTCAAAGCATGAGATGTGGCGGCGCATACCCAATCAGCAACATGTCTTGCCAGTGGGAGAATCTTATGATGTATGCTGGGAAACCTCTCTGCAGATGTCTGCAGATGTGCAATCGTGAAGTTCTTGGGGGAACTGCTGACATCGGTGGACAAAAAAAGCTTAAAGCTGGAACGCAACTTGGGATGCTAGACATGACAGCCGTGGTACGAGGATGTGTAAGCTGCATGGTAGAAGCTCCGAGCCGGCATCCACTCAATCACATGTCACGATGGCTGCTGCAAAGTCAGAAACCCAACCCATGAAATCGAACTTCTGCATGAAAACCCTGCACGACTCTCATAGCTAGCCGTGGAAATGCCAGGCAAATGAAGCAACAGCGGGAAATGTACACCGACGTTCAATTCTTTACTCGCCCATGCAATCGCGGACATGCGTCAACGGATCTGGAGCAGAATTTGATCCTTTTGCTTTGGCTTCGGAGCAAAGTGGTTTGTTGGATTATTGTTTGGCTTTCGGGCATGGCCTAGGTCTTTATGAAGAACACGCCAAACTAGATTTCGGTGCTGCGTGGTTTGGTGATAGGGTCGCTACTTCCTAGCTCATTCCCTGTGTGCAGCCCAAATTCTACACCGAAGCTGTATGACTCGTCACGGAGAGGAGGAGCCAAACTTGAGTTCCGTCAAGTTTAATTATGGTCATCGTCATCATCATCATCATCATCACCTGGCAGGTTGGCATGGATGCAAACAATGGCGACTACACAATCTCGCAGGAAATGCTCGTTCAAAGAACAAGCACGTGACAGCTTCTTGGGTAGCATTTTTCTTCACGCCCTGTCGTATTTGCGTATGTCGGGCCCATTCCAGGAGCAGTCACACCTTGGCAGGAGGGGAAGTGCGCAGCCTGTGAGTGCCTCTAAAACACCAAGACTCTGGATAGTTGCTGTGCCGTCGACTCTTTACACACTCCCCTGTGCACGTGTACACAAATCCCACGCACCTTACCTCCATGCGATCAAGAAACAGAAAAACCAGGGAACACCACCACAACCTCAACTGCAAAAACAACATCCAGAAGGGACCCTTCAACCTCAGCGGCAGCATCACAATGATGAGGCAGGGGCCTCCCTGAGTTTTGGCTGTAATGCCTGACGGTACTCCTTGTCTAAATGCAGGGTTGTACCACCACAAGCGCTAGTGGTCTCACTCGAAAACTTAGAATTGCGGCCGTGATGCAATGCATGTTGACAGCTACATCGGCTCTATCATCTCTCTAATCCCTGCCCCTACGCCCGCAGCGCTCCTTTCAGGCCATTAACCAAAGACAGACCCTAAAGCTGAAAGCATTAGGCTCCCTCCAAGCCACCACCTCCGAAATCGTAAGGCTAAGCCCGGATGAACCCCGATTCCCTTCTTGAAGGGCCTTGATGTGCAATGCCTGAGAAAATCCTAATCAGAATCCTTATGACCTACGAAATCCTAGAACCTCCCCCCTCCAAGAAAACATACAAACTCTCAAATGCTGAAGCGTCTTTTGCCGAGGCCCCGAGCGACGACGCGGGTGCTGACTCCGGCACAGGTGGCAGGAAGTCCGCATCCCGGAGCCTCGTTTTAGTCTGTCGTTCGTGGCCGAGGGTTCCGGGGATCAGCTTGGAAAACCTAGCTGGGGCTTCGGGTTTCGGGATGACCGGGAGCTGTGGAACATTCTCCGATTCCAGGTCGCCTGCGACTCGGGACTGCGACAGGCTCTTTTACCAAAGTGCGCCTTTTCATCCCTAAACCCTATAGAAAACCCTTTAGAACCCATAATGTGTCACATGTTACACGGCCTGAAATCCAACAAGCGGGAAAGACCTCTCCATCCCCTCCTCTCCAAATGGAGCAGCCAGGGAGCCCAGAAAACCTCAGGAGCCTGGACACTGAGCTCCCCCTGTTGCGGCTTAGGGGGTTCTACGCTTTGGGGCTTTCGGGCAGAAGGGCTCTAGTGCGTCAGGGCTTTGCCGCTTAGGGTGTATAGGGTCTGGGGTAGCAACTTGGGGCATTTAGGCCTTCGCCAAAGCTTATTCAGGGACCGGGCAAGGAACCAGCTTCTGGGAGTGAGGACACTGTTTTGGCTCGTGGGTGCGGGTGAAGTTTCGGGCTTGCGAGGCCTTGCTGCTTATGGCTCCACACCCCGAATCGCAGAACCTTAATCTTAAAGCCTAAAACCTAAGACCTTAACACAGTTTATTTGTTTTATTTCTGAATAGTTGCTGCCCATGCCACAGCATTGCCTCAACGCAAAACCTGAAGCATAGCCCTTATAAAACCTTTGAAACAATTCGAAGCCCCACATGCGCCTGCGCCTCCAACAGGTCGGCCTTAGATTTTGGGCACAAGGTGACCAGGTGCTTCCACAGACCACGCTCAAGGCTTCGCATGATGCACATGGCTCACCCAAAACCGCACGAATACTTGCGCAATGGTCGATACGACAATCACTTCAAACAAAATCTAAAAGTCAGCCCGCAACCCTAGGTTCGACCAAGAAGCCACGTAGTCCACCAACGCGCGAAAGTCTTTCTCGGAGAGCTTGAGCGCCTCTTGCAAAGACATGCAGGTTTTGGCAAAGACAGGTTTGCTCCGAATGTGTTTGATTGAGGAGGCACGTGCAATATGTAAAGTATGAACAAACAAATAAGTAAATATATAAATATAGATATATATATATACACATCTGTATATGTATGTACAGAACCGGATGCATTGCCGGCCCATGTTCACACTCCATGGCCAATACTGCAAGACTGTGTTCCAGATAACATGTATGATCAACTTCTACTGCTAATCAAGCACTAACAGTAACACAACACTGATAGCATAATCCGTGATCGATAGATGCATGTAGCGAAGTGGATTTGAATGCTGTCCAAACATTCTAACATAGGAAGCCCCTTCCCAGAGAAGCCAACACCCCTCAAATCGGGGATTCCTCTGAAACTACTGCTCCTGCTCCGCGAGGAATGAGTACGACTACGGTTCTTCAAGCTGCAAGAAGCGCCCGTGGTCAAAGACAAGCAAAAACCGACCTTGCAGTGGGAACAGGAACGTCCGGCGGCGACGACCTCGGCATGGCCATATGTAAAACTGCCACAGAAAACCGAGCGGCACCTAAAGTGCATCTATGTGTCCGTTCGGGGCTGCAGGAGTGTAGGATGGTTTTGGGTTTTTCGGGCTTGCGGTTCCAAAATTGAGATTGGGGTTCAAAATTCGAGACCCGCAGGGGGCTGCCCAGGTGCGCCAAGCTAGATATACGATGAGTAATGCTGCGTTTATGCTAGTGGACGAAATTATGTACGTGAGCCCGAGAGACGTATGTGTGCGTGTATGGTACAGTCTATGGTGGGCACTTCGACTTGGATAATCTTCGCCGCGACCTTTGTCTAGGGCTGCGAATCGTTCGGGTTCAAGGTTGAGGGCTGTTTCCAGCAATCAGTACAAACCAGGTCTACCGAGCAGGTTCGCTCAGAACTCGCAGCTTACCACTCAAAAGAGAACCTTTTCCTCCTTGGTTCAAAGCTTGAACATGTAACGCTGTGGTTGGGCAATTCTGCTGAAGTTAAACGCTGGCGGGCTGGGAAGCGAAGGATTACTGCCCAAGCTTGCTGGGCGTGGCATCTAAGTCTAGGCTTTGGCGGACCCGCACACCACCACGACACTAACACCAACTCACTAACACGAATATTGGCACCAACGCCACGACCGCGGACAACCCACCTGCACCGATAACAAGAAGAACAACAACAAACAAACAAAACAACCAACCAACCACGACAACAACAACAACAACAACGACAACCACAACCACAACCACAACCACAACAACAACAACAACAACCACAACCACAACCACAACCAGAACCACAAGCACAAGCACAAGCACAAGCACAAGCACAACCACGACGACGACGACAACAACAACAACAACCACAACCACAACCACAACAGCAACAAGAACAAGACAGCACGTGCGTTTGCCGCCGCCCGGGGTGTGTCGTTTATGTTCGGACGTTTTTTGGGTCAAAGCGCAAAAGTGTCGATATTTGTGTGGTTTTCGTGAGCAGGAGGTTGTTTCGGAGCATGTATTTGTCCAAGTTCTTTGTCTTGGATATTTGCTGAGGTTTTTGCGAAAGTGTCGAAAATACCGTTTTTTCGTTGTTTCTGGTGCTTGATTTTTGTGTTCATTTGAAAGTTGTTGTATGGAAAGGACAAAAAATGCAAGTCTTTTGCATGGTTGGCGTTTCAACAGTAAGCTATCAACGAGGGCAACAGTGAGCAACTGGTGGCGTTTCAGTCAGGTAGCAGCAGTGTCATTTGCATGGTCATCAATGTTATCAACTTAGGTATCGTCATCGGCATTCTTATCTGCGGCAGTAACAGCCAACGTAGGCAACAGCACATGAACAGCATCAACATCAGAATCAGCCTCATTTGTACAGTGAGCAGTCGTATTTCCGTTTCTTAGCTTCTGGGTGGCCTACAGAACAAACCGCATTCGCATGGACGTCATCATGCCCCCCCCATCCCCCCCCATCCCCACCAAGGCAGAA